TCATCTGCTTATTCCACACAAGGAGCAAAGTGCATGTACCATCCTCTGAGAGTGCAGGTTTCTTGCATTAACATACATTAAGTGCAAGTAATTCTTAGCTTGTTGAGTACTGTTGGGCTGGACCCAAACAGATCATAAAAACCTGTATCAAGTTGCTCATAGGTCTATACCTGCCCAATTACAATTGCACCTTAAACTTCATCAGAGGTCTCTTATTTCAGCCTAGAGGATTTTATGATTGCTCTATGCAATAGCTGGCACTAGTTCTAAGCAGACAGCTAAAATATTGCAACCCCAGTTGGGTGTCTTAGTTCAGGCTGCTGTAATGAAGTACCATAGACTGGTTGGCTTATAAACAATTTTAAAAAATATTTTGCACAGTTCTGGAGGTTGGAAGTCCTTGATCAGAGTGCCTGTGTGGTCAGGTTCTAGTAAAAGCTCTCTTCTGGGCTGTAGGCTGCCTTTACCTTCCTGAATCCTCCTGTGGTGGAGACAGGGCAAGAGAGCTCTCTGGAGTCTCTTTTACAGGTGCACTAATTCCATTATGAATTTTGGGGGGTTCATAAACATTCAGTTCGTAACATTGGAGTTTACCTGAATTACGGTGCAAAAGGGAAGTAGTCTCCTTAAGCAGAATCATAAGCAGTATTTCTACAGTTCTATATCTAACACACATTATATAAATAGCCCTTACCCACCCTCTAAGTTCTAGATTTGTATGGCCTGCAGCATACATTAGTTCAGAGAGGTCTTAAACCTTCCTCAAGCTTGTCATGTCTAAAACTAAGCTCATAATTTCCACTTCATCTCCATATTCACTGTCTTAATGCCAAGAATCACTTAGCACCCCAAATTAGGATCATCACACTCCTCTCTGCATGTACACCGCATTATGCAATCCTTCATCTCCACCGTATTGCCACTCCATTACCACCATTATATAGCATCTTGTTCCTGGACCTTCCCAGGATCCACATCCCTTCTTATTCTACTTTCAGAGGGAACTTTTAGAGACACAAACACAGTCATGTCCACACCCTTGATTAAAACACTTTGGTGGGTTCCTCTTGCTTATAATAACCAGATTAAATATTATTTACATGCATATAAGGCTCTGAGGGGTCTTGTCTCCACTTCGTCCCACCACTCCTTCCTTCCTTCTTTCCAGTCCAGCCCACCCTTATTTCTGACCAGGAGGCCCTTCCATTGTGGAAGAGGCAGTCATTTGTCTTCAGCAGAACAATGGTGCCTTCTTTGCCTACCCTCCTTTTTCAGGTCTTCATCTATCATTTAATGACTGCCTTCCACACACAATAGTATTATATCCAAACCACCTCCATCATGATTTTGAAAGAAGTGAGGAAATGCATTGGCATTCATGTATTTACGGACCTAATCTGGTGCCCCATCATCCTCTAACATCTGAGTACTCTTTTTTTATTTTCTTTCATACCCATTTACTATTTCATCCATTTAAGCATCAGCAGTATATTATAGTAGTTTTTTTGATTAAAAAAAACTTTAAAAGTTTTTGTCTCATTGATAATACTAAATATTTTCTTCAACCTTCAATTTTGTCAAAATGTGCTAAAAAATTATACTTAATTATAACTTAGCAAGGCCTGCAGACACTAGTATGGCTCAGGGTTATTTTCCTCCACTCCAAATGATGCTGCAGCAGTTTTATTCCTTTTTCCCCTATAGTCTCTTCTTTCAACAGCCATTTCTCTTTACTATCAATGTGTGTGTTTTCTGCTTCTAATTGGCTGCCATGTGTTTCAAGCTATTCTAAATGAATGCAATGTTTTGGCTTCAAAACTTGCAAGTATGTAAAATCTTGCATTGTTTGACTCTTTTACTTGAGCTGAAAGGTTTAATTCATAATTTTCTGGCTTAAATCTCCTTTCTGGATAATCAAATTTGTAGTAGACTGATCTTCAAATAAATCAAACATAAAGTGATACTTTTATTTTCTTACCCAACAGACATCTCTTTAAGGCTGGCACAATTTATATGATATATATTTTATATTATGGAAACCATCATAACATGTGGTTGTCTCTGAATAATTTGAATGCTTCTTTAATTTGTGTGTATATTTTAGAATAAAAAATCAAATTCCAGCCAAATCAAATGCTCCTAGTGTCCTATTTATGTCATCATGCTGCCTTTCTCTTTGTAGAAAGCCATTTTGCATAGTAAGGTATTTATATCGAATAACTTCCTGATGATCTGAAAGAATTAAGATAGTTTTAAAGATGATCACATGATGCCTAGAGAGGTCTTGTGACATTACATCTCTCTGGCTCACTGACTTGGTTTTAGAATCCTAAGCATTGGCATCGTTAAGTGGGAGAAACATCGGATTATTGGTGGAGGGGTTACGAAAATGAAGCACAGATGTTTGCATAGCACGTTACTGGCATTGATAGTAGCCCTAAAATTTAAGGAGTGGGTACATGTGCAAAAGTGGCGAGAGAGGAGCTGGGAGGGTTGTGTATTTGTTTTAAGGGTAAGTTCAGCTTGTTTTAACTTTGTCTTGCATCCTGTCCTTTATGTAGTCTCTCAGTCTCCCATCTTTTGTCCTGTTCTCCCCTCAAACTCTCCATTGTCACTTTCCTCTCCTTTTTCTATTCCTTAACAACTGTTGGCCCACTCCAAAATGTAAATTAATTTGTGGGCAAATTATAGTGACGCTTGGAGAAAGCAGGAGAAAAATGTTTGGCCCTTTCTCCCTGTTTCAAGTCCTGGTTATCCCTACTGTGGTTTAATTTCATTTCTAGGATTTGGATCAATAAATTTGTAGGAAACACAAAGCCAGTTTTCTCAGTTTATTGACCTTCTGTTGAAAGCAGACACAATTTAGCCAACATCTGGACAGTATTTGTCAAGGCCAAGTGTAACTCAAATCCAGGCCAGAGAATGAGTTGGTGCATTTGTTAGTTAAGCCATTTAATGGGCTTATAAATAATAAAAAAAAAAAGTAAAAAACCCAGCTGCTTTTAGTCCCATACTAGGTTTATTTTCAGCAAGGCGTTGGTATTCAGGGTGAACTGACATGCATATACCACGTTTTCTTTCTTTTTGCATCTAGAGTATGCTCTTGAATCCAGGTTTCTCCTACTGACCAAACTACTTACTGACCAAACTTTGGTAGCTTCCTTATCTCTTTCAAACGTTAGCTTTCTGTTTATTTACAAGGACCATTATAGATCATCACACTCTCAGATTGACCTGGTGGAGGTAATAAATGGAGGGCCTTCTGGCTGCATCCAATAACTTAGATTTGCTGTGGAGGGTAAATGCTGGAGAGATGAAAACATGGAATATGGAAGGCCAATCAAGGGGAGATTGGGATTATTTGGGTACAAGGCAAAAAGTGCCTGTCTGTATCAAGGTGGTGCCAAGTATACACGCCTAAGAGGCAGAAAGAGAGGAATTGATCTTTGGATTTGAAACTCTTTGAAGGTAATACTATATTCAAATTCCTCATTTGTACGATTGAACTTAAAAGGCTTCTTCATGTTATGCGCAGAGGCTGAATGGCACCTGACCTGGGTTGGCGGGGGGACTTGTCAGCACAGTGTTCAATGAATATATTCTGCCTATTGCCTTATTTGTGACATTTACACCAAAATCAATGTGTGAGGAAATAGACCCCAACTTCTTGTGGCTATAAGGTTAATATGAGCCATAAAGTAAATAACATGATGCTTAAAATCCCTTTTGTATTTTTATTTAAAAATTTTTTTATTGAGTTATAGTCAGTTTACAATGTTCTGTCAACTTCCAGTGTACAGCACAATTTTTCAGTCATACATGAAACCTTTGTATCTTTTTGTAGTCCCTGATTTAATTTTTTTCCAGAACGTTATTTAATTTCTGTCTCTCTCCTACAGTATATGTATGTGTATGTATAAGTCACACAAACTTAACTGGAGTTTGTAGAGAAGGTTCCCGAAAATGCTTTCCACATACCACTGTGGCAGCACACCTTGAGAAGGAGCCAGGGAGCTCATCTTCAGAGCTGAAAGGAGGACAAAGGGTCTTTGTGAAGGGGAATTGCCGATTCCCCTTTCAGCTTGGCCAGGACAACCCTTCACAGATTGCTGAAAGAGGTGGAATTTTTAAAAACTCATTTGCAGTTCACTTTCAGGTGTGGTAGATCAAATTTTCAGACTAAGGTTTGTAAAGTTAACTGGCTATTAACTCCTTTGATCAGAATCTAACCAAGTGGCTGTAAAACAGAAAACCAGTAACGTTCCCAAAGGAAGGATTTGATTGTTGGGAAACACCCGGTGGATGACCTTTAGCTTACCTTTTCTGTTGGACCATCTTAAAGAGATACACGTTATTGTTTCCAAGACTCCACAGTGACTGATTCGATTTTTATCTATTCTAAAAATATTTTCTCCCTCAGCAGAGGCCAAATTCTCATGTTAAAGACGACTGGAGACTAAAATGGCATTAATCTATTTCCCTGGGTAAGCAATTTTCTAACAGTGTATGAGCCCCTTACAACATTTCAGGAATATGAGTAGCTTTATATTTACTTCTTAAAAAGCAAATGAAAATCTATTAATGAAAGAATTTGGTTAACAAATCAGTGAAACTTCAAGAAAACCCACATCCCTTTCTTATAATCTAAAGCTGGAAAAATGTACCATAGGACATTACTTGGGTTTCTGAAATATTATTTACCAGTCATTAAAATTCAGACTGGTGGCTTTTAAATGCCTAATTCCATGTTTCTTCTAGCCACGTTTATTGCTTGTCTAAACTTCTTTTCAAATTGGTAATCTCGATTACACTTCTTTGAATTTAACTGAAGACAAAATAGCTTGCTTTTGGATGTCTCCGTGTAATTACAATTTAATTTTGTCTGGTTGATATGCTAAAGATAATGGCTTCTGTTTTGCAAAATGCGACCTAGCTACATGCAACACCACTGCCAGAGCCTATTTCAGATGCAGGAGCCAACTGTTCTCTCATTTCTGCAGAGTTCAGGCTTTTGGATTTTGGCGACATTTCCATGTTTGAACGGAATGAAAGTGTCTGTTGATCTCTGTAAAACTCCAGCCTCCCAACCCAGTGATGTGCGTTGTGGAGCAAGAGCGGACTGCCGAGACTCTTTTGCCTGGAAAACTGGAACTGAGGCTGGAGAACACTTGACTTTTCTTCCCTTTCAGTCTACTGAAAGTTCGTTATGAATATTGCCTCTGCTCATGTCTAATCACATGGTAGGAAATAAGGGTTTTGGAAGATGGTCACTTGATCGCCTCTAATAAATGCCAATCATTACTAATAAACCCTCTCAGAGCACAGGGTAATGTTCGAGTCTGAAAAGCTCAATCTTTTTCTAGCCTGAGATATTCATGGTCTTTCCTTGTAGTTGTCATTGTTGATCTTACATGGCTTTGTGGTTTCTACCATCAGGATTATCCTCTCCTGCAGAGCACCTAGGCATGGTGCATAGATCTAGAAAGCGATGGTTCCATTTGGAAGGCAGAGCAGCAGTTTCTATCCAGCAGTGCACTGTTCCGTAGTGCAGTGGAAAAGACACTATTTCCCCTGCGAGAGTCAGAAGATGGGAGTTCTAATCTGGGATCTGTCAATTGACTCTGAGGCTTTGGGCAACTGTCTTCACCTCTCTGGATATCATGCTCTTTCTCAACTAAATCAACTCCAAAAATCACTTCCATAAATTTGCCTGATTGATTCTGGAGGGATTTAAAAATAATCATATGCTGACTCATTTGGAAACTTTCTTATTGATTTGTTTTGCCTCTCCTTTTTCCTCCTCCTCATACTGTCTTCTTGAGGTCATTGCAAAAGAGGGAGTAACTTGGCAAATGGAAGTTGATGAAATCAGTTAATAAGAAAACCAACAAACATACTGAAATGTGCAAGTGGACCCATTTGAAAATGTCTACTATCTTTAGGAGAAAGTCCACTGACTCATTGAAATTCCTGTGCATAGATAATGAAGAAACAGGATGGTCAAAAGGTGGAATGCTTCTCTCAAGATCTTAAATGTCCAGAGAGTGAACTAGATCGATAGCCTAGGAGTCCAAGGAGTGGGGAACAAATGAAAAGTCCCTTGAAATACTGATAGAAAATAAAAACAAAGCCAAAAAGTGTCTAACATGGTTTTAATACCTTAAAATTATCCCGTCCACTAGGAATGGCTTTACATTTTATGATTAGTTTAAAGAAATAAATTAACTGGATAATCAACTGGGGACGGCTACTTTTCTACTAACGGCCTAGTTTTAAACCCCTCCCCCACAAATTTATCTTCAGCCATGTATGTGATACAGTGAAAACATAAAACCTGGTTTCTTTCCATGTAAACTATTTGTAACTTAATACTTAATTTTTCTATAACTATTTAATGATTCTACTGCTTTTTCATCATTAAACTAGACAGGTGCCAAATTGACCAAAGGGCTGAAAATATGACCCCTGTGATAATTGTTTTGGTCACACTAGCTTGACAAACAATGTAATAAAAATCATGATTCAAAATTCAGCATGGAACTTGTGAAACATGTTATCAACTCCTGTATCAAATGCTTGAACATGTTTTTAATTGGCAAAACTTTAATGCCATTAAGAGTTTTGCATATGCTTCAGCTAGCTTTTGTGCAGTTGAGAAAAAAATATCAATACCCATCTGTCACTCTGAGTGGAGCACATATGGCAACAGAAGACCTCAGAATACATCAGCTGTGGTTTCTATTATGCAAGTCACTTCAACTCCAAAAGGAGTTCAGCCACCTTGATATAGCTTTGGCTATTAGAAGTTTAATTTTGCCAATTAAAGTTGTTATTTTGCACGTAACGAAGACAATTTTGCCTGTATCCCTTTGCTGTCTTCTTAACAGTCGTAAGTAAGAACTCTGAGTGCACATAAATCCTTCCGTTCTGATCTGGATTTCTGTAATAGTGAAGGCAATGGTGCTGCTTTCGAGTAGACACTCTCTGGATTGGTTAAGTGATCAGTGTTGGCAGGGGTCCTTTGTAGATGCCTTCTGTCCTTTCTGGAACTGCCCTAGTTTGACTTCCCCAGGCAAGTGAAAAGCGAAGAGGGAGAGTTGAGTCAATATTCCAGATATTTAAAGCCCAAAATACTAATGTGCAAAAACTGAGATTTTTCTTTTTTTGACATGGGGAAGGAGTTGAATAATCATGTCTTATTCATTTATTTAATGTTTACTGAGGGTCTACTCTATGACAGGCACCAGATACCAGATGAGAAAGTACCTGGTGGATACCAGAGATAAAAAAATGGACTCGTGGCACCTGCCTTCAAGAGCATGTAAAGACCTAGTGAAGAGGAGCAGATACATACACAGTGTGGTTCTGAGTCCCATTCCAGAGGTATCTGGAGGATGCTCTGGGAACACAGTGGGAGAACGATTCATTGGGTGAAACCAGAGAAAACATTAAAAAGAATGAAGAACAGGAAATTGCCATAAGACATATTGGGAGAAATGCTGCTAAAGTCAGTAGGAAGAACACACACAAAGGCAGAAACATGAGAAAGAGTGTGAGAGTTTGTGGACTGGTATGTAATTCAGTGGGACAGGAAGTGAAGGGACTATGAGGAAAGATGGGCGGCAAAGAAGGCAGAGACTTGACCACAAGAAGTTCTCTATTTCTGGATTTGGAGCCGTATCTCAAAGACACCAGGGAACTTTAAAGCATCCTTGAAAGGCCAAAGGACATAGTCATGTTTCCGCTTTGTAAACAGCACTCTGATTTACAAGGGCCCAATTGGAAGGAGCTGGGATTAGAGACAGTGAATTTATTTTCAGGGGACCAAGAGGCAATGGCAATGAGGTGACAGAGGAGAGGATAAATCAGAAAAAAATATTTTGAGGTTATGGACTCTACAGGACTAAGGTTTACCCTGTTTTTCTCTATTGGATCAGTTTACCATATAATGTTTGACCTTGTCTTTGTCTGCTGTGTCAACATAGACCATCCCCCCACTACTCAGGTCTGGTTAATACAAGGAAATGGGAGGTGGAGTAGGAAAAATAGACACTGTTTTTTCATACATTCAAGTTCGGCCAAATTGAAGAAGAAATGCAGCATTTATAAACAGTGTTATATTTGAATTACACGTGAGAAAGGATCTCCCCCCAAATTTATATCTTTCCAGTTATTTTGTGGCAAATTAAGGATTAAACCATCATGATCTTTTCTAAAACATTATTCATTTTGATGGTTTTGAAGGTCTGTCAAGCATTTTTCAATGTTTATTCTCAACTTACCTTAGCAAGAAGCTCTGTATTAGTGCTAAAAAGAGTCAATCCTAATGAAGTAATAAAGTAAGAAACTGAATGATCTTCAGTGTTAGTTAGAATAGGGGTTCACCTGCTGTAACCAAGACCCACAATGACAAGGATTTTCACAGTCCAGGGGTAAGCAATCTAATGCTGGTTTCAAGAGTTGACAGTACTGGGGCCGGGGCCATACTCTACTCTCTCTTTACTTTGCCAGCCATAGAGTATTCCTTGGTCAGCCTGATACAGGATGGTCCACTATCGCATCCTCATTCCAGCCAGTGTCAAGGGTTATAGGATGACATTTTTCTTCCTTTGAAGGACACACATCATTTCCACATCCAAACAAAATATCCCATGGCCAGAACTTGATCACTGGACCACACTAAGATGTAAGAGATGATGAAAAAATGGCCATTGTTCTGGGGGCACCTGAGTCCAGCTAAAAATAATGCACTTTTAGATGTGGGAGAATGGATATTGGGGGACAACTGGCAGTTCCTGACACAGAACCCCTAGGACATTTTGAGGCACCCATTCAGGATGGCTATGCCTTATTACAAACTAGTTTTCTTTTGCAACCAGTTTTTTTCTACTAAGACTTGAATATCCATGATTCCACTAATTTCACTTATTCAGCAATCATTTAATGAACATGTACCTTGTGACAAGGTATGCCACAGGAGCTAGAGATGAAAAATTAAATAAAGCTCAGTCTTTTTCTGGCGTTGTTCATAATTTAAAGATGATGACATAGATGGTAAATCAGTAACTGCCATAGACCACGGTAAGTGACATACCAGATGGCAGGTGCTCTCCTCAGAGCCTGCTACATCCCTTAGGGCCGCAGAAGAACTTCCTGAGATGCTGATTTCTGTGTCCTCATTTCCACAGGAGGGTAATGTTCCTCTCCTCTTCCTTTCCTTTCAGGATTGGAAGATTGAACCACAGAGGTCTGAGTTCTGGTCTTTTGCATCAGGCTGTTATAAGAGGTCCTTTCACTTTAGGCAGAAAACACAGGAGTCTGGCACTTTGCTCGGAGGCTTTCATTTGGGTTTCTAGGCTGACCGCCTGCACCTGAGTCCTGCCTTTCCTGTGGGGACAGGGATGAACTGGGGTTCTTAGAGTAGAGGGAATGGTCCCTGCAAAAGGAGGTGAGCTTCAGGCAGAAATGTTGGGAGGAGGAGACTAGTGGGCGGAGAATGGGTGGGATGACAGGGACCCGTGTCCCTCCTTGATGCCGTCGCCTTAGGGAGCTCTTACTAGTGTCCGCGGGGCCCTCTCTTCTTTAGTCCCTTTTAATTCTGACTCTGACCTCTATCACTTTCTCCTTCTTTCACTCCACTTTTGCCCCACTGGCCTCCCAAGAGTTTTGCCAGCCAGGCTTGCTCCCTCCTCGTGCTCTGTGTCCCTTCTGTGCCAGCTGCCTTTCCCTGAGTCATGTGGCTAATCTCTTTCTTCAGGTCTTTGCTTACCTTCTCCTTGAGGCCTTCCCTGGCCATTCTTTCAAACATGTCAGCCCTTCACCCTGATTCTGTATTCTTTTCCCTGCTTTGCTGCGTCTCCTTAGTGCTGATTGTTCTTTACTTAATTTCTACTAGAAACAGAGAGGAACAGACAATAAGGACAAACAAGTTCCAGAGAAGCAGGGATTTTTGTCTATTTTATTCAATACTCGTCTTTAGGATGGTGCCTGGCACATAGTATATGCTCTGTAACTATAATTACAAAAATCCCCTAAGTCCCAGACAGACAAGTAGGAAGTAGAATCTTCTTCATTTAAATTGACCATATGTGGGAATGCAGTTTGGTGCAGCCACCATGGAAAACAGTGTGGAGATTCCTCAAAAAAAACAGAAAATAGACTAACCCTATAATCCAGCAATCTCATTCCTGGGCATATATCTGGAGGAAACTCTAATTTGAAAAGGTACATGTATCCCAATGTATCCCAGCACCATACACAATAGCCAAGACATGGAAACAACCTAAATGTCTATCAACAGATGACTGGATAAAGAAGCTGTGGTATATATTTATATATAATGGAATACTACTCAGCCATAAAAAAGAATGAAATATTGCCATTTGCAGCAACATAGATGGACATGGACATTGTCATTCTAACTGAAGTAAGCCAGAAAGAGAAAGAAAAATACCGTATGATATAACTCATATGTGGAATCTTTAAAAAAAAAAAAGACACAAATGAACTTAGTTACAAAACAAAGACATACTCACAGACATGGAAAACAAACTAATGGATACCAGAGGGGAGAGGGGGTAGGGAGGGATAAATTGGGAGTTTGAGATGTATAGATGCTAACTACTGTATATAAAATAGATAAACAACAAGGTCCTACTATATAGCACAGGACTGATATTCAATACCTTGTAGTAACCTATAGTGAAAATGAATATGAAAAGGAATATATACATATGAATCACTATGCTGTACACCAGAAATTAACACAATATTGTAAATTGACTATACTTCAATTTAAAAAAAGGTAAATTGACCATATGATTAGGACAATTGGAATCTTAGTAAAAATTCTTGACTTTAGAATAGAAGCCTTCCCCAAGCTTTCTTGCAAGTATCGGGGATCTTGCTCCTGAGTAGCAAAGGGCATAAAGTCATACAATTTTTGATTTTTTAAAAATGAAGGAGTGGCATCTCTTGCACCATAGTGTTTAGAGTAAAATCTAACCAGTTCACCTTGAATGGGCACACAGGCCAGCCCTGCCTCTTTCTGCTCATTCATGCCAGTATGCCAGGAAGTATGGCTTGAAAATGGCATTAAGGATTTGCCGTGGTGCTGTTAAGGGAAGTGAGCAGTGACAGG